TTATATATTTTTTGGAAATCTATATACATAATAATTAATATTGCATACTATACTTTATTTATAGGCGAATGGATAAAGTTTAATTCAGGAACTTTTCAAAAAAAAATGTTTATTTTTACAATATCAAAAAAAGATACTTGAAATTATTTGAATTTAGTTATATACATATGTATGTATGTACATATAAGAGATTACTAATATATTAACAAAAAGTTTAAAAACACAAATAGTTTAAAAACACAAAAAATACTTATGAAAATCAAAAATTACTTTACAGATCCTATTCTATTCACCTTTTTCTATTATTCTTCATATATAAAATTCAAATTGAGATCAAAAAATATTTTATGAGATTGCAAGTTTCCCAACAACCAAAAAATATCTCCCAAAATTGTTTTAAAACAATATTTTACTTAAATAATTCCCTTTGCAGTATGTAGACATGATACAACATTGTCAACATATTAAAATTTTTTAGCAATAAATAAAATTTGCATATATTTTGGATGAAAATAAAAATTTAAAAAAACGTTAACATAACTCATTGACAGCTTTGATGAACTCATGATTTAATTAGGAATTAAAATAAATACAAAATTTGAACTTATTTATTTATTGTTTATTTTCAATAAATTATTTTCAATAAATTTTGAACAAATATTCCATAAATTTCAAAACAAGTAGATTTAACTTAAAAATTTCAATGGACATTTTATGAATACAATTTTTGCATATTATGATGCTTCTTCATTGTGTAGACAGTTTCCAGGACCATATTGAGTATTATGAGAGTTTCTCGCATACTTACACGTACTTACTTCTTTTTTTTTTGGTAGAGAGAAATGCAATAAGAACACAAGAAACCATAGACAAGAAAATAACAAAAAATTAAGATATAATAGGATGTAAATTGTGATTAATATAAAATTTTTATTCAAATTAATCTTCACAATTCAGAATTTGGTGTCTTTTCAAAGAGTGCATAACATGAAGAGGTTTCGTTTTCAAAATCTAAATGGTTTGTTTAACTTAATATGAAAATTACAAAATTAAATTTATATTATGATTTATTTCCATTTAAAAAATTAACTTAACTAAAACAATATAATATATGTGTATGTATATATACATACATTTTTTTTCTTCTGAATTTATTTGTACATAAATAAAATTTGATTTTCCATTTTTATTTTAATCATAATTCATTTATGAGTTTACAAATAAGTTGTAGCAACTTTTTAATTTTGCTTTTAATTTTTTATTTTTTTTTTCAATGTATATATGCATATATACATTAATTAGTATTTAAATATATATATATATATATGTTTTAATACATCTTTTATGCACAGCTTTGCATAGATATATGAGAAAAGGTTTCCATGTTAAGTAACATAACACTATTACATTTGATTTTTTTTTTGTTTTTTTGCTTTTGTTTCTCTAATTTAAACTTTTCCACATTATTTACGATTTTCAAACAATATTTTTGACCAGATATTCACTGATTACATATGAATATATATACATGTATAATGCAAATATATTATATATATATATACCTATATATATATATATATATATATATAAGTAAATTATTAAAACAAAATACTTTGTTCACTTAAAAAATTTAAGAAAATTAATATTATGTCTGAAACAAGAAAAAACTCGCATTTTATTTAAACAAAATTATTTTCAATATTAAAAATTGAAATTAAAATTACGAATTTAAAAATATATGTGTTAGTTTTTTTAAGAAAACATTTCATTTTACAATTAATTTTTATTTTTATATTTTGTTGTTAATGTTATAATTTAAAGCGATATATATATATATATATATATATACATATATATATGTATATATATATATATATAAATTATACATGTATATATGTATAAATATTTTCTTCTCAAACAATTAAATATTTTATAACTATATATATATTTTTTTTGCTATATTTAGTGTAGCAGTTACTTATCACCATTAAATATGATAATAGATGATTTCTACTTTTTAATTTCTTATATAAAAAGAAATTCAATTTCAAATCTTAATATATAAATATTAATCATAAGAAAATTTTATTTTTTTAAAACACTTAAATTCAAAATTTTAAAACAATGTATTTGGGAATGATTTGAAAATTATAATATTGTTTATTAATTTTCAACAATTAATTTTTCAAAAGATTCTTCCAATTTAATATTTTAAATTGAAAGTGTAAACATTTGAATTTTAATTTACCAAAAATTAAAATTTGGTTTTTTTCTTTTTTATTTTTATTTTAAATATCGAAAAATTTATAATCAACAAATTTATTTAATTCAATGTTTTTTTGTTTTGTTTTTAAATAATGACGACTTTTTAAGAGAACTACAACATATTAAAACAGATATAGTATGAAATTTTCATTACTTTATTTTTAGCTTACAAAATATTTTATTTATAAGCAGAAACAATTTTGTAAAATTTGAACACTTTTTCGCAATGTAACAAAATATATGTAGATTACTACAAACTATATGTACATACATTGATGAATTGCGGATTATTTTGTAAAAAATTTTTATTTTCATACTTAATTAAATCAAAATTTTATTTTTTTTTATAGAAACGGAAAATTTTAAATCAAATAAAAAAATTTAATTTAAATTTTGAAATATACACATATATTTTCTTTAATATTAATTTAATTTTCCTTAATATTAATCATTTTTCCCTTAATAATTTTGTTAGTTTCCCGTTGAAATTTTAGTAAATTTTAAATATGCATTTAATATTTCCTTTTCAAATTTATTATTTAGTAAACATGTTTACATTTTATTTAGTTTAGTGATATTGTTCATTATTTAAATTTCAGCTCTAATTGTAGTTTATAAATTTTTAATAAAAAATAAAAAAACTTTAAAATATAATTTTTTTTTTTGTTTATTTTCATTTAATACATATAAATTTTAAAAATCGTACACATTATTTTCATTATTTATACTTTATTCAATTCATTCATTCAGAAAATTGGAATTCATTTATATAATTTCTTTATAAAATTTAAGTGTATTTTTAGTATTATTTAATTTAATTAATTCATTTTTTGTATTCCTTTGATAAATTCATTTTTTTACAGCATATTTTATTTAAATATGGATAGGTGGGCAAATTAAAGCTTTTAAAAAAGCTCATGTAAATACATACTATATTTCGAAAAAAAAATATGTAATTATGTAATTTTTTTTTTTTGTAAGGGGTGTTGTTTTCAGGTTTTGGTAATAATTTTTATAAAATAGAAAAATTTTTCTAAGAGGGATAGGATAAAGGATAGGATAAAATAATTTTAAATGCCGAAATCATAATTTTTTCTTTTAATATTTTGCAATATAAAATTGAACAAAAACTTCTATAGATTTTAAAATTTTGATATTAATTTTGTATTTATTTATTATGCACACTACAAATAGAAAATTTCCAGAAAATAATATGATTTTTAAAAGAAAATATATACTTACATATATGTATATATGAATATATCGAAAAATAAAATTTTATCAAAAATATTTTCAAAATTCCCTTCTTATTTAAATTTTAGAACTATGTATGTATTAAAGTTGTTAAAAATATTAGGTAAAGGAAATGTATATCTCTTCAATATATGTATAATTATGAAATGGTAGAGTTGATTGTTGTTAACAATTATTGATTAATTGTATTTATAAATTGTATAAATATATTTTATTGTAAAATATTAAAAATTATAATTATTAACAAATTTTATTAATTATTTTTTTTATTTTAATTTCTAAAAAACAAAAAGAACTTAATTTCTTATATATCAGAACTATGAAATTGAAAAAAATGAAATTAAAATTAAAAATGGAAATATTGTGCATTAAAAAAAAACAAATGGTGATTCATAACGCAAGAATGAAAAAATTGATTACAAAATAAAGCAACAAATGTAAATTCAGAATATCTTCCATATTAAAAAAATTCGCAAAATCATTTCATAATTAAATTCATGTTCATAGGGAACAAGATACAAATTAAAAACAAAATAATTTATTCTGCTTTTCCGATAAATTTTACTTGTACGGATCTGATTTGATAGCAATACAAATTTAAATATGGAAAATTAAAATCAATGTAATTTTTTGTATTATATATAAATAGGATTTATTTTTTATTTTAATTGTATTTTTTAATGAGTTACTTTGTTTATGTTTTGATTATAAATTTACTATAAGATTAAACACTTATTCAAGTTAAGTTAACTTTGGTAATATGTGTACCCCTCTATGACATATTATTCATATTTATTTTGAGAAACGAAATTTATTGTAATATTGCAACCCCTTTTTCCATTAAGGTGTAGACAATTTTAAGCATTTTTTGTTTTCTTTTTTTGCTTATAATCTATTTTACTTCTATTACTTTTTAGTGACAATAGTTTCTGCAATCCGATTTCAAAAAAGTTTAATCACGATAGGGTATAATATGTAAATCTAGTAACAATGCAATCTTACATTTCATAACACGAATATAAATCCCTTCTAATTAGTGGCAGTACATTATTTTATATTTTACTAATTATGATCTGTGGTACTCTTACATAACATCAGTGCATTTCATCTAAATTACTATCGTAAAGCTTAATTAATTTATTTTGCTTATAGAACAAACATTAGAATATAATAATGAAAATAATAAGTAAAATCTGTAATTTGATTTAAATCAATAAATAATTTTATTAAAGCTGTAATTCAATATGTTCAGTTTAATACAGAAAAAACTCGGGCATTATGTAAATATCATGATTTGTAAAAATACCACAAATATATATAACAAAAATTTTGTTATTGAATCGAATGCAAATATTAATTTCTCTTACATATTCAATTTAACACAATTAAATAATCTAACATTTCGTTAGCATTTATTAAAATAAATCAGTGTGTTTGTAGTTGTATAAATATTTATACACATTTGAAATTGTAAGATAAATTAATTAATTATACATGACCTTTTGAAAATAATAAATTAACTCTACAAAACTTATTAATAGGAATCAAGCGTGAATAGAATGTTTATTTCCAAGTTTGTACATATTTTAAAAACATCTTTTTATTAGAATAAAATCGAAAATAAACATACATATTTTCATAATAATTTGTGATAAAAATGAAATCAACAAAACAAATGGTTTTCAAAACGTTTGATTCAATTTAAATGGAATAAAAACAGATAAATTTACTTTAATTGTTCCAGTTAATAGTGTTTAAATTGAAGCAAATAAAGCATAAATGTATAAACCGGCCATGCTTTGCTTCCAAAAATTAAGACAACTCATTTGTAAATTTGTTGACAAATATCCAATTTTTCTATTCATTATCATTAAAATATTGTTATTTATCTATAGATTACGATGTTATCAAGGATGTTTTAAATAAAATTGATTTGGAGAAAAAATTTTTAATTAGTTATCTATTTCACTTTCTTTCTAGTTGAAATTTTTTACTATTGAGCTTTTAAAAATTTGTTGTAATCAAATAATTCAATATTTTATTGTAAAATAATTAAAGATTTTCAAAAAATCCCAGTAAAATCAATTGAATTGTTGATCATTTATTCAAAATATTTTAAAACTTTCAAGTTTGTAAAAGTATAGTAAAAGGACTGTTTTAAAAAATTTATATTTTAATGTTTAATGTAAAATAACTAAATATGTTTCAAATTATTGAAATAATTTAAATGCTAAATATTAATAGGTTATTTTATGAGCACAATAATTTAACAAGTATGCAATATTGTACAAGTTTATATTGCCGTTTTCATATTGGTAGAATTTTAGAGCTTTTATTTTCCTCTAATTAATTTTTTTTGGAAATTTGTCACCAATTTAAAAATATTTTATTATCTGTACATCTAAAAATATTTTACCATTTTTTTGTTTTTCCTTATTTTTCAATTCTAATATTTTTAGTGAACGAAGTTTTATAATTAAAAAATCCAAGTTTTTAATTTATTGTTAATAAATATTTTATATTTTTATTTCTTATTATTTAAATCTTAAATCTACCCAACTAAAATACAAGAATTTAAATTTTATCATTTTCTCTTTTCTACTAGTTTTCATATTAATTTTTTTTTTGTTTATTTCATTGTGTATATGTTTTTATTATAATTACACTTATAAAATATCAACATAGGTTTTACAGTAACAGCAATTTTTAATTCGACTTAAAGGCATTGTATAATTTGTTATTTTTAAAACCTTATTTTGCTTTTTTAAATTTAAATTTTCATATTATTTACAAATCTTTATTTTTTCTAACAATTTTTGAACCTTTATATAATATGAACATTTAAAAAAAAATAAACTTTAAAACAGAAATCTTATTTTATATTTTTAGTAATCAAGTTATGGACTTACATATTAGATAAAATTTCTAAGGAAAGCAAGAAATTCTAGAGCAAAAAACACATTGCTCAAAAAATAAGGTAAGCTGATTTTTTTGATTCTTTTTTTCTTTTATATTTTTTAATATTATAGTTTTAGTTTAATTTTTCAACTATACTACAACAATGACAACTTTTTAAGTATTTTAGTAGTAATTAATTTGTTCATATAAGTTATAATATTATTATTAAAATTTTATAAAATAGCTTTTTCCCTAAATAACAAAAATACAATTAAATCAAGATGCAAAACAAGAAATAATATTTCTTCAAAAATATATTACATATATGAAATAAAAAATATAAGATAATAAAAATTATAAAATTTTCTTTTGAAAATAAAAAGAAACGTATTGTTTGTTTATTTCAATAAAGCTACTAGATTTCTCTTCATCTTAATTTAAAAACAATTTTTTTTTTTAAAGAATAAACTTGCATTTTCAACAGATTAAAATTTAATATTGAGACTGATGGATCTTGAGTATTTTTATACACAAAATATTTATTGTATGATATATGATTACTTGAAACTTTTTAAGAGCTTGTAAAATTTAACTTACTTAATATAAATTTTCTTCTATGAAATGGTAAGTTTTTCCATTATAAAATGATTTTTTGTTATTAAAATAAACATTTGGTGTGTGTGTGTAATACGTATAACTTTTAAATTTGAAATAAATGTATCGTTCAAATATTTTCGTTATGAAAGAAAAACTTATTCCTGCATAATAATTTGAATATTAAACAAATGTGCGTTAGTAATGATTACAACTTAAAAAAACGAAAACGTACATTTAAAACAATAAACACAAATTTTTACCAAAGATATATTTGAATATTATTCTTAATCGTAAAATTGCAAAATAAATTTAAAAAAAATTGTAGATCTAGTCAAATTAATAAAGATATATATTGTAATTTAAAAAGAAGTTAATATTAAATTGTTAAATAATAATCCAAAAAAAAGTAGTGCTTAATTTTTCAAGTTATTTTTGAGCTTATATAACATCTTATATTTTACAAGAATATGTAAAACAAAGACTTCACATTAAAAAAAATCTTGATTAGAATACTTAAAAAATTTGTTTCCTTCAAAAATTACATTAAACTACCTTTATACACAATCATAATAACAATTTTAAATGCTAACTTGTTTCATTAAATTCATACATGCAATTTTTTATATTATGTTAAAGATGTGAGCGTCCCTAGTCAACATTTTACAATTAACTAAAAACATAATATAGTCTAAAAAATAAACTATTTAGAAATGTACAAATGCTTTTTGTATTTTTAAATGTAGTTGGCAATTAAAAAAACGAGTAATAATACTTGAATTTAAATTTAAGTTGACTTTCGGTTTACTTACTTTCAAGCAAGCCTAATTGCATTAATTAATGTATAAAAGCAAAAAAAAATTGAAAAATAAATTTTGAATGCTTCTTTTGCGCTGAATGTTTTTCCTATATATTTCATTTTGTTTTTAATTTTAAAAATTCTTACAAATATAATAATTTTTGTAATATTACACCTCTTGTTGTATTTTTTTATTTTGCCTCATTATTAGTTCAATTTTTAACTCTTTTGTATTCCAAACAATTTTCTTAGTTTTCAATTTATATTCGTACTGTCATTTCAAAGAAATTTACTTGTATTTTAATTTATTTTGTTCTTAAAATAGTAGAAAAATATATAAGAAGTTTGATTTTAAATTTTCTTCAATTTGTTCATTAAACAAATGTAAGAACAAAATACATAAGTATGTATATGTATTTTAAATTAATTATTTTTTTTTATTTCTCTTTTTTTTCTCTTTTCCCTAAAAATTACAAAAACATTTTTAACAAAAGATATCTAATTAATAAAATGTTATTTGATTGATCTATGATGTAATTCATTATTAGTTTCACTACTAAAACTATTTGAATAACCATTAAGATGACCATTTTCATGACCTCCATTATTTATTATATGACCATTAGTTGCAAATCCATTTGCATGACCATTTGTGTGACTATTTGTTTTGGACATTGCAATATCAGAATCATCTTGACAGTATTCTTCTTCTTGATCTAGAAGCTAAAATTAAATTAAAATTAAATCGATTTAAATATTGGAAAATATATGAATAATAAATAAATAATTTTTTTGATAAAAAGTTAATGTTATTGTTCAATTTAATTCATTGTAGAAATTAAGATGAAAACATTAAAGATAAATAATTATTTTAGCTTAGTTCTTCTTGTAAATATAGAAGACTTTTATTATAAAACACCATATGATTGATTGATATTATAAAAAAATTTCAAGATATGATTTTTTACTTTGGAAAAATAAAGTATTTTATAGATAAAAAAATATTCAGAATTTGTGTGACAAAGTAAAAAATATTTAAAGTGAATAGACAAGCTTATGGCTGTGAGGAAAAATTCAAATGGGCAAAAAATAGTAGACTACAAAAATAAAAATACGATGGAGTGCAAAAATATTATTATGACGGAGCAAATTAGATTCATAAATAAAGAAATTATTAAGAAATTTTATATCCGGTAACACATCTAAGTGACTTCCTTGAATAAATCTTTTTGCGCAATAATTATGTATATATTTGCACTTTTATTTAACATTCATTATAGAATATAAAATTTACTTTTTTTTTTAGTATGTAATCACGTTTTTTGTTGGGTGTCAATCAGAAAAATCTTAAACCAAAATAGCTATTGCTTAATTGTAAAAAATAAATAAATAAACAATTATTTAAACTTTAAAATCAATTAACGATATTATTTATATAAATGTAACAAATATTTGCTTAGCTCATTCAGCATTTAAGCTTAAATTTTTTTTGTTCTATACTTATATTTCAAATAAATAAGTTCTTAATAATTTTCATAATTTCTAATAATTTTTTAATAAGATATTTGCTTTGTTTAGAGAAGTAAAATATTTATTTTGCCTTTAATTTCTTTTTCTAAAAGTACAAAGATCAAATACATATTACAAATATTTAGTCAACGTGAAAAACTATTTACAGCTGAGCTTATCTAAATTTTAAGTTCATTATATAAATATAACATACTCAAACTTTTGTTCGTAATAAAAAAAAAATTAATTTAAATGACAATTTAGAAACTTTTTGCATAATGCAATTATATTATTTAATTAATTGGAATTTTTCCAAGGAAATAAAAATTAAGATTATATTTGGCAATAGTTTGCTATTCAAATAACTAGGATTCGATAAAATATTAAAGCTATTTATATATCAATTACGTATTATAATTTATTATATTCTAATGTACTTACCATACAAGGTAATTGAAATTTACTTAAAATGTGACCAGTACGACGTATTGCTTTTAGATATCTACTTGTTGCACTTTCTTTGACATGACCATTGACATGACCATTTGCATGTCCATTTGCATGGCCATTTGAATGTCCATTAGCTTGAACATTTGTGTGGCCATTTGATAATAACTTCTCTTTTGGTTTATCATCATCATCTTTCTTTTTTTTATTTTTATCTGTATATTTGGCTTTATAAAAATCTGAGAACAGAAATAGGAACATGATTCCATGAAAACTGATCCAAACAACGAATCCTTTTGGATAATCGCATTCTCTGAATAATAATTGTAATTGGTGGGTAAATATAGCAACAAATTGAACCTAAAAATAAATAAATTTTATAATCCTCAATGGTCAAAAGCTATCATTTAAATTTAAAATGATATACCATTTGGAATGTAGTTAAATACTTTTTCCACCAAATATATTTTTGGTATTTTGGACCCATCGCAGCTATCATATAATAGAAATACATAACAATATGTACAAATGAATTCAACAAAGCAAAGAATGTACTATGTCCACCTAAAAGAAAACAACAAATACCGTGATTAAATTAAAATTTATTTAGTTTGAGTTAAATCGATAAAAAGAAAAAGAATTATTTAAATTTATGTACCTGGAGCAAATTTCATTCCCATCCATACTGAAAATGGCATGCAACCATGATGTATAACATGTAATGTAGATACATGCTCATTTTTCTTACGCAAAAGGAAAAATAATGTATCGAAAAATTCTGTAAATTTAGATATGTAATACCACCAACATGTTGCAGCCATCTGAAAATTATAAAATAAAAAATTATTAATATAAATATTACCATCAAAACAAAAAATTAATATAGATATACAAATCTACTATAAATTTTTGTAAAATTGTGTAAAATTTTTTTTACATACCCTCATTGCTAATGGGTTATTTGAATAATCTACAGGTTGACATTTAAAGCTATAATGACCCCACCATCCACTCATTAAATACTAAAATTTATCAGAAAAAAAAAAACATTTTTGTTTTTTAAATTATTTAGATTATTTAAACAAACAAATTTACTTCATAACATATCCATGCACTGAACACTGTTTGGAATAAATTATAATAGACTAAAACTTTTCTAAGATCCATTGGTTTTCTATGTTCCATTAACTTTGGTGCTAACGATTTACTAAAATAAGCGTAAAATATACATAATGCAAGCGTTGGAAATGGTGAAGACATCATTGGCCAATCTTTGACTCTAGGATCTAAACAACAAAAAATTAATATTGAATTTTAGTAATGTTTAATATATTTTAAATTTTAAATTTTTTTTTTTTAATCTTACCACTCCTATTATCAATTAGATCTCTGTACCAATCATATATATCATGTAAATACTCCATCTTTTACTGTTATGTATTTTATCCAACGTTTATCTGTAAAAAAAAAAAAATTTTTTTTAAATTTATAAAACCTTTTCATTAAAAAAAATAAACAAAATATAACATGTATTTTAATTTTCTACTTTTCAAATGTATTTACAAAAAAAAAAAAAAAAAAAAAAAAGAAATTGTTTGCCGAAACCCGGGATTGAACCGGGGACCTTTAGATCTTCAGTCTAACGCTCTCCCAACTGAGCTATTTCGGCATATATTAAATAAATCACATTCATCTTACTTTAACATTAATAATATTTTATCTTTTTCTTTTTTGTTATAACATACGATGATACTCTTTTTAAAATTTCAAACCAAAAAAGTAAATAAACAAGGTAAAATTACGATAACAATACATAGTACATTTGTTCCCGCATATAAATATAAGAAAAATTTTAAATATGTATATTTTTGACAAATAAAAATCACGCGACAATTAATAGTTAAAATTAAATGCTAGCAGATGAACAGATTTCAATGAATGCCTTATAATTATAACATTAGCATATTGTAGTAACAAAATCATAATTAAATTTTGGTAAGCAATAAGTTTTTTTAATGGGAATTCACAATAATAGGTATACCGTACAAAATATATGTATAGGCACACATATACAATGTACTTATTTTTATACTCTCATTTCTATTTCCTACTTATTTTATTAAAATCAAGCTTCTTTTCATTGTATATTTGCTCCAAAATCCTAAATAACCAAATTTTTATTACTACCGTTCAGTCAACGTGTTGGAATGCAACTTTTATTCCAATAAAAAGAAAAAAATTGTAAAATATGTATGTAGAAAAGAATCGTCTTCAATTCTTTCGTCACTTCATTTTAAAATTTCATGAATAAAATACCTACATAAAAATTTTAAAAATTTGCTGTTTACATGACGTGTTCTTCACTATGCACATATAATCAATTTTATATCGCAATTCAAAATTTTAAATATTTTTGACTATAACGTTATAGGTATGTACAATTTTAAATATTTTTGGTGCTGGAAAGTACAATATTCAAAGTGTATGAAAACTTTTAGACCGACTGTATGTATGTCTATACAAGTAATGATAAATAATTGGTAATATAATATAGAAATTTAAGAAAAAAAAAAGCGAATAATAGGCACGGAAGATCAACATAATTATAAAAATAAATGTTTAATACTGGACTTGCCTACAATATCATTATTAGCATAGAGTATGAATATGTCATAAAGTATGTGTGTATGTACTACATAAATATGTATGTAGGTACGTAAAATCAAATACAAAATAAGTATTTGGAAGAATTTTTTATATGATTATCGAAAAATTTTGAAATTTTCTATTACGTGTTGTACGTGTTGAAAAAATATTATTCAATATTTATTTAATCATCAATTCTTTTTTTTTAATATTAAATTCAGGCGCGAACTAATCCGTTCGTATCATAACTACATGCATAATAATATATAATTTTAGAACAATTTAAAATCTATCATTGATATGTTAGACATAAATTTAGTTACTTTGCTACTAAGTGAGACGGTACATAATTGAGTATGCATACAAAAAAAAACAATGTTACCAATCTAATTTACTTATTAAAGGAATTTACAAGAGCATGAGAAATTTTGAAACTTACACAAGTGCATTTGTCAAATATATTACTAAAGACGCAAAAATCTATAATATTCTTGTATTTTATATAATATTTTATATTATAAGTATGCGTCCGGATTACTTATAAATAATACAACAAATAAAATGAAATTTGTCCAATCAGAAATATGATTTCAACAAATACCTACTCGTTTTAAGTAATTATCAGCATGAAATATGTTTTAAAAAACATGCATTTTGAAATTATAAATAAAAATACTGAAATACATATATACATATATGAGATAATAATAATTTTGACAATCAATATTGATTTTCACAAACAAAATGTCATATATTTATAATTATATAATATGATATTGTGTCAAAAATTACGCTGCATAATGTCAATAAATAAAATGTTATCAATCAATTTCATTAATAAATAATCTTAACTTTTCAACTATAGTTTGAAATAAATAGTTGTCAATAAATAGTTTTTATGACTAAGAAGAGAGTTAAGTCATTACATATATATGTATTTTGTCAAAAACATATTGGAAGACTAACGAGTTATTTTAATTTGCTGAATTATTCTCATACAAAATCTCACAATAATGATATTGATCAATTTGCTTATTATACTTAGCATTATCTACTTTCACATATTATGGTAACTTTATGCTATGTATACCTATTTTAAAGGCATCACTGATATAAAACTTATACTGTATTTAAACAGTAACTATTACGAACGTACGCAGATATTTTTAAAAGAAAATCTTACGATTTTTTTTTGAAATATTGAGATGTTAATAACTTGACTCAATATATTATAGAATAGAAAAATTATAATGAAAAATAAATATAAAAATTATTAAAAAATGGAGAAAAAATAAAAGTGTAAAAATTTGCAAAATCCCGGAACCATAATTTTAATTCTTTTTTTTTTTGTTAAGAGAACATGTAAACGCACATACATATTAAAATTTTATGTACATACATTGTATATGAATTATAACATTAATCATTAAATCTACTTGCAAGATTAGCAGAATTTCAAGGGCCGAAGATACTTTTTTCTAAGACTCATCAAGTCGTTAATATTTTAGGTTTAATAAGTGATTTTAAAAGCTAATCCCGTATACTGCGACTTTACATGTAGGACTACAAATAGTTTCATACTTCAAAATAGCATGTTGAAGAAGTGGTACTCCTCACTGAAATTCAACTGAAACAATGTTTGCATTTCTACTGTATTTTGTAAAGTGAAACTCATAAGTGTGTAGTGGAAATACACAGATTAAATACAACATTGCTTCTACCCTTTTTGATTATCATTTTGCAAAACATTTTTTAACCTAAAATATGCGAAAAAAAAAAGATAAAGTTCTAAAATTTTAAAAAAAAATCCATCTGCTTTGCAATGAAATCTTGATCAAAAATTTGAAGCCATGCCTTATTTTATTAGAAAACTGTTTACTTTTTAAACTTTTAGACAACTGAAAACGCCCGGAAATTAGCTATAGATACTTTGGCTATAGGTCCCAATGATTCTTTTACTTTTTAATTAACAAAACGAACCTAATTTGATAAAATCCACTTTTAAAAGAACTACTGTTTTTGAAATTGTTAACACTTACTCCATATATATAACACTTTCACATTGCATATACTATATACATTTAAAAGCAAAGGTGCAACTAAATGTATACAATTTTATTATAATGGCAAACATATGCAAATACATTACTAAAACATTTGTTACTATAAGCAATAAATAGAATTGCAAATTTCAAAAGTTCAAAATTTTAAATAAAAAGTTTGAGGGCATATTCTAATATTCTTTTATTTATTTCTTTTTTAAATAATATTTGCATTAACACTATATACCATTTATTATATTAAAAAATTCACTATACCAATTGTTTTAATGCGAAAAACATGAACAAACAAAAATGTACATGTTTGTATTAAAAGGAAGACATAGAATTAATTAATAGTGACTAAAACAATAAAAAAAAACATTATCTGCTCTATTCAATACAATATCAAATCGTACAAAAAAAATTATTTAATTATACAATAAATAGCTTGAGTTTGAAATGTCACAGCTCAAAAAAATTTTAATGATTAAAATGGAAAATTGCTTGTTTAAATTTTAATTTTTTGCAATAATTTAAAAACGAAACGCAGAGAGGCAGAGCTTTGCTCGATCGTCCGCGAAAATTCCTAACTTTTGGAAGAAATCAGGCATCAGCAACTGGACGTTTACTACGGGCCAAATGTTTAGAACTGATCACATAGACTTTTATAATATGTACTTAGTAAGTAAATTAAATAGATTTTAAATCTTATTTTCAACAAAATTTATAAAAACATTTAATTTTATATGTTTCAGTGTATTTTACATATTTTTATAAATTAACGTACAATATCGAGACAATAAAGGAAAATTATACAATTTAAACATTACTAGAAAAAATTGCAATTTTTTTAAACTTAATTCAAGTGTTAAAATTGTAATAATAACAAACGTTTTTTAACCTTAACTTACCGGCAAACCGGTTCTTAACTTATAAATTATACATTTTTTAAATTAAAATTTTATTCAGTAAATATGTAGAATAATAAGCGTTTGAATAATATTATATAAGAAAATATTAATTACATAGTTTCTATATTAATTTAATTCTATTAACTTTTTCAAATGAAAATTGGAGTTATCCTTCACATATGACTCATAAATATTTAGAACCTTATTCATTTTACGAGTAATAAAAGTATTATGCTTAGAAAGTTGCAGTACAATCTTATAGCACAAATTATGTATATAATTATGTACATATACATATGTATGTACAAAATATGTATAATATTCAAAAACCTATCATTATTTAATTTGTTGCTTAAACTTTCTATGTATATTATTAATAAACAACTGCATGTATTTAAAAAAAAAATTAAAAATAAAATTAGAATTTAATTCAACATATTAAAAAAATATTTGATATTATTAATTACTGAGGTAAATTATCAAATGTAGTCGTTTTCTATTTTCATACTTTACCGTTATAATTAAAGCAAACAAGGCTCTTTTTATGAGGACAAATAGTTCAAGTGAATTGTTAGCGTTTGAAATCATTTACCTGCATTCTAACCCGTTTACCTATAGTTCTATTGATCATATTCCCTAACTTTACATGCTTAGAAATGTTAAAAAATTCTATATGTGTAATTGTTGAAATTATAAACATGATGAATTAAAAATGCTAATATTTAATTGATTTTGTATTAAAATTCCTGTTCTAATTGCGAATAAAAAACTGGTAAAAAATTGTTGTTTTAAGTTTTTATGAATGACGTTATTACTTAATAAATTAATTATATAAAAACAAATAATGAACTAGTTTTTGCTGTTTATCGCATATTTGCAACATTTTAAATTTCAAAAATGTTATATTGCTTAAATAATGAGAATTTAAAATTATTTATAAAAAAATTAATGTGCATTTATTTAATATTTAATTTTAATTTATTGAAAAAGGAAAAAATAAAATAGAAAACAAATTAAGTTCAATAAATTTTAAAAATTGAACTTTAACTCTTGCTACTTTGTTTTATATCGAATTTATTCAAAATTTGATATTTACTCCTTTTTTTTGAAATTTGGTTTTAAGGTCTGCTGGGCAGTGACCAAAAAAGAAGATATTTACTTGTATTTAATTACAATAAAAAATTCTGCAAAAAACTTTAAACATATGAGAACAATTGAGGCCTATCCAACATTTTCGTAAAAATTAGTTATTATGTTCTTAGAAATAAAGAGCCGTAATGGCCTAAAGAATTGTTCTATATTTTCAAAATACTTAGTTTACTCCGCCTTTCACTTTATTTTAACATAAGTTTGTTTTTGCTCTTTAAAAATATTCTTAAAAATTAAATATTTAACATTTAGAGCAATAGAAAACAATTTAAAAAAAAAAAAAAATTAAAAAAAATTGTAGACATTTGTATTTGCGTAATATTCAAAGATAAACTTCTCAAACTTCAAATTATAATCTATAATGCTTATAATTTGCACTTTATAGAATATGACGATTGTGAAATGGAAGTTTCATACACCAAAAGAATTAAAAGTCAATGAAATCTCTGAACTATTTCCCTTGATAAGCTTTAAAAAAATTTCCATTTTTTTTTAAAATTTCCATTTATTTCAAAAATTATTAGAAGTTTAAATCAGATATAAATGTTTTTGAAAAAAACCAGTTTAGTCAAATTTCATTTCAACAACTATACAAATGCTTATACAAATTTTGAACCTACACAAACAAAATATGGACATCAACAGTTGAAATTTGAATTTTGTTGCGATTACAAGAGTTTTATTTATTATTGGATGCGATGCCATTAGTAAAAATTCATTAGACATTCTTACATCTCAAATCGCACTATTTTCTTCTCAACATTTAAATGCGGTCTTCTTACTTCTTCTTCTATTATTTTCTAGCTGAATTAAATTAACGCTATCGATCATTAGGTCACTTCAAGAAACTGAGATAAGCTCAGAACTTATCAGATATTAACCTATGAAGGATCTATGAAGGTTCGTTACAAAAAGTTAGAATTAACTCAACAAAAAATTCATAATCTCAAATTCAAACAAATCAAAGTGATGAACATAAACTACATTCGACAAAAAATCAGCACGGGATTAGTTAATTTTCTTTGAAGAAAATTTTTAATTTTTTTTTTATATAATTTTTTATACCGATAAAAGGTCCTTGCTGTATTAGCTTCTAGTTTCACTCTTTTTTTCTCACTTTAATTTTATTTTCACTGATTCCCATACACTTCAATTTGCGTTTTGATTTAATGTACAATTTTTTTTTTGTAAATTTCAATTAAATTAAGGTTTTTACTATTTTCTATAACGCATGGAAGTCATTTAAAACCATAATTTAGTTGTTAGACTATAAAACCAAGTAAATAAACAAAGTCGGTAAAATTTTTTATTTCCGGTTCATTGTCTTTTTAATCACACAATGATAATTACTTTTATAAAAAAAAATTCTAATATTCTAATTTGGCAAACAGAAGTGTAAAAAAAAAAAATTTGAATGAAAATTTAAATTTTAAATTGTATAGTTAGAGAAACTTGTCAAAACCACATATTATTCAATTCATACAATAATATTTAAAAATATAAAATTTTTTAGCTTTTACAATAATCACCTAAAATTAAAAACTGCTTTAAAAAAAAAAAAATTATTATGTGCAAACAAATTTGATATTTACATATGAGAAATAAATGTATATGATAAATTGAAAATAAATAATTCAATTTTTCCACTTATAAGAACTCTAGGTACTTTTCACTTTGAAATTCTAGCACGAACTGAATTTAATTAGAATTTAAATGGGCAGTTTTTAGTTAATTTAACAGCGATAGCATGCTTTTTTATCATTTCGATTTTTTGTTTTTTTTTTTTTCTGTTTTAATTTGCTTGTCTGTTTTAATTTCCTCTTTTGCGTATAGAACTTTAAAGTCATTTATTGTTTTTAAATTTATTTTATATTTTTTATTTACATTTGTTTTACATGTGTTATCTTCTTTTACCTTTACTTGTTCTATAACTTTTTAAACTTTTAAAAAATGCAATAAGTATTGGGCTTTTTTGTTTTTTCTTTTTAATTTATACAATACATAATAAAATATATTTGAAATAAACATGAATGTAAATAATTTTAAAAATTTTTTGTTTTATGTGACCTCAAGCAATACAAAAATAAATAAAATAAAAAAAAAAATTATATTGAAAAAACAAGAAAATATCAATGATTGATAAACAATTTGAAAACATAACCTTAAAAAAAATCAAAATTTAAGAATATTGTGTCGTATGCGTAAATGAGCAGTTAGGTATTGTTTACATTTGCAAAATTTTTACTTACTAATTGAATAATTTATATTTATTCACCGCATGTACACTTTGCATTGTATTGCCTATATTTTAAACATTCTAAATTTGAAAGGATTTTTTATTAAATTTTGTGTTACAAAGGGTTTACCATTTATAATGAAATCATGTATTGTGTTCACTTATTGTTTTTCAATAAATTAATTTTAATATTAATTTTTAGCCGCCGGTTTCGGTTCAGTCGCAGATTTTTGAAAGTCAATAGCAAATATTTTAATGTTTTTTTTTTAATCATTGTCTCACTGTCAAAAAATTTATATAATAAAATTATACTTGTACTTTTACCGACACCAGTTGTTTCTCTTTAAACAATATTTTCATAGTGCGATATTATCAACATTGTATAATTTTACAAACACTTTAACTACAAATTCTTCCTTTCAAAATAAATAAAAATTTTATTTTACAATATGTAATCGAATTCATATATAAATTTATCTTATATTAAAAAAATCAACTGTACATTGAGATCATTTTATTATAATAGAATTCTTAATAAGTTTATTAAAATTAAAATTTTATTTTTAAATATTTAATAATTATGCAATTCATACTTATATCGACAGCTACATTTCGTTAAAATAACTATCATTTTTATACTGACGTAAATATACCGGTTATTACATTCATTATATTTATTATATAAAATTGAAACTACAAATGAATTTTTATAATAAATTTTAAAAAAATAATTATATATTATGACAATATTTAAAATATGAAATTTGTATTTTTACAAAACCGGTTTTATTCAACTAAATTGATAATTTTTATTTTAATTACCTTAATATTAATATCTAATAAATTATGTTTTTATTAACAATGCGTAAATTTACAGGGTTTCTTATAAGAAGTTCAATGGTAATTGCACACTTATGTAAGTATAAGTATGTATGTACATATGTATGTATTTTTTAACGAAATTGAAATAAATAATATTTTTGAATAATTTTTGAGTTTAACATTAAATTTTTTAATAATTTTAAGACATTGTGGAAAAACTAAATTTCAAAACTATAAGAGACTTGTGAATGACATTAATTTTTACTAAAATTCTAAATTTTCGAAATAGCCATAAGACAGTAATAAATAAGGAAAGGTTTAATTTATTGTAAAGAAGGATTTACTTATGTTTACGTTCTTTATACAAATTAATTAAGCCAACTCAGTCTAAAAATTCCTTAAAGTTGCGTACAAATTCATGTACATACGTACATATTTGCCTATAAATCTATGTACATATGTATAGTGTACATTATTACTACGCTTATGAACTAACATTGTATGATGTACATTTTTTCTACGCTTAACGTCTAACCTTATGGTCATCTACATCATGGATGGCAATTAAAGGGCACGCGTGCCAAACTTGGCACGGAAAAAAAATTTGATGGCACGTTATAGTTGTGCCTCGACAAATTTTTATATAGATTTTTTTTCTAATAAAAAATCTAAAAACTCGTTGAAAAATTGATTGAATGAAAAATTTCCTAAAAATGATAATTTCCTAATAGCGAAATGACAAATATTCAAAACCAAACATATTCAAATGTTATATTCTTTTTATTTTTGTTTTTTTTGATGAAATACACATTTTTGAAAAAACTAATTGGAATTTCACCTATGAATTTACAAATATTCTTGTTTCTATTAAGCAACAGTTTGCACAAAGATTTCTCGATTTTAAAAGGATCGAAAATATTTTAAAAATTATTAATTACCCAGATTTATTTGATATGCAAGATTGTGACAATAACCTCCTTAATTGGATGCGATTAGATAATTTAGAAATGCAAATTATTGATCTGCAATCCAATCCAATTTGGGTAAATAAATTTGTGAATATGCGGAAGCTTGTTGAAGATTTAGAAAGCCATCGATCCCAAAATGTGGAATCAGAATGTTTCATGGAAAGTAAAATTTTAGAAGCTTGGAATAGTATGCCAGATACCTTTTATTCAGTCAAAAAATTAGCAATCTCGTTGTTAACGATTTTCTCTTCCACTTACTCTTGCGAAAGTCTTTTTTCCGTTTTGAATCATGTACATTCAAAGACTAGAAACAGATTAACAGAGGAAGATTCGGCAGCATGTATTACTCTGCAGTCAACAATGTACCAGCCCGACATAAAAACTCTTGCAAGTAATATGAAACAAAAAGTTTCTGATAAAAAATTAAATTAATATTTTTTCTATCTGTATTTATTAATTTTTATACCTTGAACTATAATATGTATAAATAAATATTATTACAACTTGTCATAATATTGTATTTACCTAACCATACCTGTACTTGGTACTGTGCTGGCACGGGAAAAAGTGTGACAATAAATTTCCCCAAATTTTGGCACTTTGATCAAACCCTATTTGCCATCCCTGATCTACATAATTTAGTTTTCTTCAGAAAATTTGAATGCGTAGGTACTTTATACATAATTACAACAAATGCGTTCATATACATAAATATATATGCATGTATGTATAAATGTTTATTCGAAGAAAAAAATCTTCCTGAATTTTTGATTTTTACAAAATAAACCCATAAATATTTACATATATACACACATTCATAAATAGTTACATTACAGTCTAACAATCTGTTATAAAACTCTTAATTGACATTTTTAACAGTTACATTATGTCATTCTAAATAAATTAGTAAATTTCAATACACCGTTATAACTTCGTTTATATGGCTTATAAAATAATAGCAGTTCGGTTTCAAAGTATGTACAAAGAATAAACAACTCTTGATTTTTGCCTTCGTAGAAAATAAATGTGGGAAACAACAAAAAAAAAAAAAAACTTAACTTGAAAGGTGAAAAGTTGTTTCACGTTTGAAAAGCTTTTTTTTTGTTATAGAAATTCACCACGATTGCTTATTTCTATTTACTTATCTCCTTTTTATATTTTAAATGCAATGTATAGAAATAATCATTTAAACAAGTTAAGTTATATGCCCGGGTAGCTCAGTCGGTAGAGCATTGGACTTTTAATCCAAGGGTCCAGGGTTCAAGTCCCTGCTCGGGCGAATTTTTTTTTATGAGAATATTGTTTTTTTTTTTTTTTTTTTGTTAAAATCTGTTCAGAAAATTTATAAGCATTTATAAAACAATAAAAAAAAAAAATTATCACATAAGAAAGAGAAAAACTGTATGCATCTGATTTCTATCAACATTATTGATGAACAATTTAATTATGTTAATACCAATTTATTCTCATCTCAAGTTGTCAACTAAATAAAGTTCTCGCGGAATAAATAAATTTTTGGAAAAAAAAATAAATTTTATAAATATGATTTTATTGAAAAAAAAAAATTATCGCCCGAGCAGGGACTTGAACCCTGGACCCTTGGATTAAAAGTCCAATGCTCTACCGACTGAGCTACCCGGGCACATATTTTAATACCGCAAATATAAAACTAAACTAGCATATACCTTTTTTTATTTTTTTCTGTATTATCGTATAAAATTATTAATGTAGGGATCTCTATCTATTCGCACTCTAATCAGATTGGAACATCTACTTATAACTATATACACATTTGTACGTAAATGATTATATTATTTCTTTTGAATTTACTTTAATTTTTGCCTTTTTTATAACAGCAATTAAGTATTTTGCACAAGAAGTTGTAAAGTAAAATGACACTTCATTGAATTTCATTTATATTAAATTAAGCTAAAAAAGATTAAACACAAATTTATCAGCAAAAACTTTTTCAACAATTGGTGTTTCAATAATACCAGGAAAAAACTTTCCGTCTTAAAACCAAACAACCTGCATTAAATTTTTTCTCAGGAAAAATTTTGAAGTAAGGACACTTCGAAAACTTATTGAAAATAAGAAAGAAAAAGAGAAAAAAAATTTTATATCTTTTGGGTAAAATTCAGAAGAAAATTAAGTCAAATGTACAACTTTTTTATAAATAAACCATTAATGTTAATAATAAAAAAAAAAAATCAAATAAATTAAAAGTTAAAATAACTTTTTTAATTAAAAAAAAAAAAGTTACCGCCCGAGCAGGGACTTGAACCCTGGACCCTTGGATTAAAAGTCCAATGCTCTACCGACTGAGCTACCCAGGCTATATGCACCACCATGTCAATTTAACAGCTATATCTCCATATTGAATTAAAAATTTATTGAGAATATGCGGTATGCCATAATGCACAAAAGCGAACACGTGTTTGCAACAGAATTTTTTAAAACCAAAAAAAAAAAAAAAATACTAACACCACTCCACACTATAAATATCTACTATACTGTGCACTACATAATGTATATTACATGTGTTGCACGTTGTATAGTATAATAAAAACTGAAGCTGTATGAAGCGGCTTCATACAGCTCAGTTCTTTCGTTATATAAAAAACTCTCCGTCGTTTTTATTGTTTAAAAATTTATACGTACCAATAACGATACAAAATCAATGTCCTGTTTTAACGGCCTTTAGTATGCTTATTTTTTTTGTTTTAATATTATATTTATAAATTTTTGTTTAGTTTAAATATTTTCCAAGTTTTGAACTTTGCAGTAGATCCACGGTAACAGAATTTGTTTCAAATCTGAAAAATTAAAATTGCACTGTTATATTAATAAAGTAAACAGAAAAATAAATATATGTATATTGCATTAAATGCTTTTGTATGTCTAAAATTAAATAAAAAAACTGATTCTTATTTATATACTGATTTATATTTGTACATGCACATGGGTATCTGGTGCAAATACCAGTCTATATCTGGTAACATACTATCTGGTAGATACACTAGTAGCCAACTAGTGCACTTTTTAAAAATTAAAACAGGAAATTTTACTGTTTACCACCGTGCTAAAGAGTAGAGTTGGTTGCAAGACTCATTTTTCCGGCAACAAACGTAGCATTTACCGTTGCTACAGACTCTATTAAACTTACTTTCATCAGTCTATAACATATTTTTCCATTACAAAAGTGGGTTTTCTTTGTGAATTTTTGAAAATTCAAAGCAGCGTTTTATATTTTTTTAAGACACAAGAGGTTTGTTCTTGGTTACACACCCTCTGAGTCCTGTACCTAATAAACGTCATGTAGCAGCTCTCGCAGACACTTCTAAATTTAAATCTTCTTTCGGTTGTTGCTGAATCTTGGTAAAAGAGTAAGAAAAGAATGTTGTTTGCTTAAACATACTGTAGTTCTATCTTTTTTGACCGTTGGTTTTTTTGATTTAAGCTTTATAACTTTTCCAAAAACAGTTGGTTTCGTACAAAACCACAAGATCTTCCTACCAGGGTCGAAATTTGGTTCTTACTGGTACCTTTTTCAAACATACTCCAACTTAACCGCCTTTCATTTGGAGTTCAGTGTTTTCCTCTCCCCATTTTACTATTTTATGAATACTTCCACCATATTTCTTAGCAACATTTATTTCTTTTTAATATAGAAGCTTTAAAACTCAATAATTGTTAGCTTTTATTTCAAAAATTACTAAAATAATTGCTACTTTTGCACTCTGTCTTATTTAAATGTCCACAGTATAATTAAACCAGTACATTTAAGGCGTTTGTTATATCGAAAACAAAAACTCACGTTATCTGTAAAACTTTTTTTAAATTCTGTAAGCTAACATCAAAAAAATATACAACCAATGTTATTAAAATTCTGAGAGAGGAAGGCAGGTATGTCTCAAAATATTAATATTAGCTAGGGTGTCTTATTAAGCTGGCCTCCAGTGTAAGTAAATCCTCATTAGTCAATTAGATTTGTTTTTAATATCAAGAAAAAGAATGAAGTTAAATTCTGTCTAGGAAAAGAACAAGAATACCAAATGTTCACAAATTTAAAATAAAATTATATTTAAAGAGGAGCATTTTTTATTGCGTCAGAAAATAAAATAATCAAAGCTTGAATAAAAATTAGAAATTACCCTAAAGATGCCAGACGCAATTAACTAATTATGGAAATTGAAACAGAAAAGTAGAAAAAACTGGAAAATTAACAAATTTTATTTTATCTAATTAGATTTGAAGTTCATATTGACTTGTATTATCTATACAACTGAAATTCGAATTGAAAAATATATAATAAACACAAACATTTTTTATATAGAAAAAAATAATTTTAAAAATAGTTTTAAAATGTCAACATTTAGACATGTGCTATGAATTTTTAAGAGTTGAAATTTTAAAGGTAATTAAATCAAAATTATACAAAATTTTAAAGACAAAAATAGACAATTTATTATTCCAACAATTTAAAAATTTTTCACATATCAGTCTTTTTCATTCATATTTTAATAAAATCACAAGACTATAGGAATATTTAGCTTATTTTCAAAGCTTCGTAATGTAGAATCTGCGACAACTAAATATTGCAAAATTCTTTCATTTTAAGTATAAGTATTTGGTATTAAAATACAAATGTAAATGCGTATTTCTACAACATTAATTATTTAGTGCTCAAGTTACCTAAGAATAAATAACATACATAGATATAGTAACATAAAAGTACATACATAAAAGTACACACAAATCTAAAACACACGAAAGTTACATCAAATAATGACAAGGCCAAAATTTTTGTTATTTCAGCACTTTGCGCAAAAGCACATTTTAATGTAGAACAATCCAAACGGCATAAAAACTTTATTGGCATAAAGTTATGAAAATTCTTTATAGACAGACTTTTACAAATTTTAATAAATTTTTAGTATAAAACAAGTACAGCTGCATTTTTTGGAAATATTTTAGAATTTTTTTTAAATTTGTGAGATAAGATAAAAAAATTCTTTTTTGTGTTTTCGGAAGAATGAAATTTTTAGAATACTTTTACTTTAAAAAGAATTGATTTGAAACGATATGCTTATATCTTTTGCTTATATTTTATAGAGAAAATACGAAATGATTGAATGAAAGTCTAAAAAATTTTTTAATATAACATTCACTTTTACCGCCTGATTTTTTATATTACACCCAGCGTTGCCATATTGATTTTACAGAAAATCTAGAAAATTCCGTTAAAAAATCTAAAAAATCTGGCAACATGAAAAAAAAAAAAAAACTGAGATTCTAATAAAAAATTAGACTTTTATATTTAATTTAAGCACATTAAACAACACAACATAAAAAAATCATTTCAGTTTTAAAAACGCTTAATATAGCTTATGTTTACCAAAAACTTTTCTTGTTATAAATAAATTTTCAAAAATGCTTTCTTTGCAAAAAAAATATAGCTAAAAATTATTAAGTTAACTTTTTGTACACTCTTGAATTGTTTATTTAGTATATTTTTTATTAATTAAGTATAAAATTATAACAGGTATGTATATTAGTTTATCATTTTAAATTATTATATAACAATATTGGATTTAATATGTTTGTTAAGAGTTTGCTCTTGTTTGGTTTTATTGAAAAAGTTCGTTCTTAATTGGCTGGCTACAATGGCAACGAAAGACGAAATAGGATAAACAATTTCAAAAAACATAAGCATAATTTTGATTCCAGGTGAGTCGAAAAATCTGGTAAACTTCAAAAATTCTGGTATTTTGGGTCATTTTAAAAAATCTGAAAAATCAGATAAATCTAACAATATGGTAACGCTGATCTTACCTTGTCATTAACCGGATGGAAACGAAATGAGTTAATATCACGCATTCGTAAAATAAAATTTTTAACCCAAAGACATCAAAACTAGTAATGTTCATTCGCTTTATTTTTAAAACTGGCCTGTTTTGTAAATATTTTGAGAAAGAACGGGAATTGAAAAAAAAAAGTTAATCTTATTAGAAGAATGATAATATCTAATTAAAATAAATGAGAATTTTGATTTCAAAGTGACTGAAAAGAGTGTGACTGTACAGAAGAGGTACACAGTTTACATATGTATAACAATTTTACATATGTTTTGAGTCAAATTTAATTGCAGGGAAAATAACGTGAAAGGACACAAAAAACCACAAGATATACGCCACCATATCATTAGCAGCTTCGGTTTTATTTTAAAAGAAATAATTGAGGCAATACAATAAATAAATTAAATATTAGAATTAAAATTATTAAAGAATTAAAAATTCTTTTTTTTCACTATCCTGCTGTTATATGCAAGATAGTGAAAAAAAAGAAAAGGACAGAAATGTTAGTGATTTCTTATAAATGTTCTCTTTTATCCTTTCAGACTTCATATTATTTGTAAAATTTAACGTCATATATATCGGAAATAATTTCACCGGAACAAACAGAAAAATAATGATTCCAATTTGGCAGTTATTTAATCAATTACTGAAATTCGCAATCTAAAATTTTAAATCACAATAACACTATCATAACACGAATCGTGGCAAAAATATTTTTTGAAAATAATAAATTTAATTTTACAGGTCATTTTTATTTTACACAACATGAGCGATCGTAATTAAACTATTGTAAATATTGTTGAGGCGTATCCAAATCTTTTTATTATGAAATTGCAAACCAATGCGGATCTATCAATAGTCATATTGAATTACGCATAAAAAGGGCGTTATTTATATAAAATATTTATGTACATTTTAAAATATGTAGATATATGCATGTGTTTTGGCGCAAAGTCTCAAAAAATGTTGTAATAGTACCCATGAACAAAAATTCTGCCATTAAATGAATGTTATACACATCATTCTAGATTCCTATATTATTCATATTATATTTATTTATATATTTCTATGCACATTGTATAATTAATTTTCATTGATTAATAATAAAACATAATAGTGCATAATCCACACGTGAATGTACGCAATTTGAAGTAATAAAAATTTGGTAACAATATCATGTTAATAAGCAATGTATATATACATATGTACATAAACACACAAGCTGAGATACACAATTGCACACGCTAAAGTACACAAACACGCACACGTACTTAAATATATTTCACATATTATTCATTATAACGGAATTTTCGCTTTTATTTATTATTTCACTTTGTTTTGCTTCGGTTTTTATCTTTCTTTTTTATTTTTTTTTGCATAACCTACACTTATGCAGGTGCATTTGCACTATGCGTAACTGTTTTGTTTACTTAAAATTGAAATATTTACTGGTTTTTTTATAAATGTAGAGAAGAAAGAAAATTAAAAAGTTAAATAAAAAAAAATGTCATTATGTAACAGATGATTCTGCGTTTTACATACTTAAATAAAAATTAAACATAAAGAGCATTTTTAAAGTGAAACTATGTGCAAATAAAGTATTGAAGAAAAAAAAGAAATAAACAAAAGCAAATTAATTTTTTAAATACTTAGTCCGAAGCTTTTTTATATTATCATTGTACATATACATTTTACGTACATATGTATGTATGCGCATATTTTTATTAAAAATAACCAAAATTCCTATAGAAATTATGGAAGGCAGACAGCAAATAATTGTTGGGGGAATACCAAAAAAATAACAATAACAAAAAATGTAATGACCAGAAAAATTATTTTAATTGCTTTAAAATTAAAGCATAGCAAAAACAAAACGAAAATTCCCCGAAAACTGATTCAATTGATTTTTCTGTATTTTTCTCGTTATTGTAGTGCAACCTTTTCTAGTTGTTAGGACAACTAATGTTATGCTGATTAAAATAAATATGTAAGACTAAGAATTAGTGCTCTGCTTTTATAAACTATCGAAACATGACAAAAAGACATATTGCATAATCTACAAGGCACCTTAAGGTTACATGAAAAATAATTAGAAAATGATGTACCACAACTGAAATAAAATTTTAACTGGGATTACTAGAGCTTAATAATCACGCAACGCATGGTCGCATTATAAAGGTATTTTCGTTTTTTTAGCACAGAGGCTGAATTGTTAGTGCACGCCTCAGATGATAAAAAATTTGTAACATGATAGATCTTATTTTAAAACGAACACGTTAGAGCCTTGTTTGTCATTTATAATTTTTCCAATTTGAAATCAAATTTTCTCCAATTTAAAGATTTGAGAAATCTGATTTTTTTTTTTTTGATTTTTTTGACTCTAATCGTAAATAATAAAGTACGAATTTTTATATTTTTTTTTTTTGGAGATATTAGAATTTATTCAGAATAAAAGGGAGTTTTCTTTTCATACATTGAAAAAAAAAAATTTTATATTTCGGAAAAATTATCAACCATTGAAGAATTTTTTTTTTACTTTTGAACTCTCTAAGGTAAAAATATGCAGACGAATCTATTGTCTGACACATCTGAATGTCTGACACATCAGAATGTTAATTCTGATGTAAGAAACCTGATGAAATCGCCCTGAAGTTATATTTAACCTATGTACATACATCATGTATTATTTTTTATTTAAAAAATTCAAATTAAGTGTTAAAAAAGATTTTTTCCAAATTCTCCAGATTAAACCGAATGAAAACATTTTCGAATTAAGTTTTAATTATTGGTTAGAAATAGCTTATTTCAAAAAGCAAAATAGAGCTGAATTTGCTTTTTACTCATGTAGCAATAATTTGACACAAATTGACTTATGTATGTATGTAAATTTATAATCATTTCCAAAAAATTTTGAATTAGAGTCATTCTTTCTACTTTTTTACTTTAAAATTTAAAAACTTAAAAAGTCACAGGGAATACTATATGTTCAAGTGTCATCTGCCACTATTTTTTGACTGTTATCACATATTAATTAAAAGGAATTTTCGCTTATGACACACTGATAAAAAATTTCTATACAATACAAGGTATGCTTGAAGATGCATACTTCTATATAGAATTCATATTTCATAATATATCACATGTATGTATGTATGTCGTTTCTTAGAATTCTCATTCAGTATATTCAAAGAAATTCAATATACATAGTATAAATAAGATTTATTAATTCATTTTTTAAAAATGTTCATTTCACATTTACAACATTGCTGTATGGCACACAAGTAAATAATAATTTCTATTAAATTTATTAACATAATAAAATATCTTTAAAGAAAAAATTATATTTGTATGTACATATTTTATTGATTTAATAAGTAATTAAAAATAATTGAATTCAATCAAAAAGTTTTCATTTAATTACTTCAATATACATACATATTATACATATGAATGTACATACATACTTACAAGGTAATGAAAACCCAAAACGAAAATATTTTTTGAAATACTCATGTGCCCATAATTCATGTACATATCAAAATATAAAAAAAATACATACGTATGTATGTATGTGATATATGTATGTTAACAAAATATCCATAAATTTCACAAATATTTATTATATTAAATACATACAAATGTACATAAATATAGAAAAAAAATATTAATTATGTCACTAAAAAATGGGTTAAATAAACAATAAAATTCAATGATGGAAGAAAAAAAGTATTGCAATTTTGAACAACAGTTTCTCCAAAAAATTTAATTAACATTAACTTTAAAGTGATAACGATACCAACACCCACTTTATTTTTATAGTATGTACAGTCAGCCATACATTCCTACTTATAAATATTGATAAGTATCTTAAAATAAAATATTTAATTATAAATTTCACTAATGAATCATAAAAGTTTTTAACTACAATACATACATACATACATATATAGACAAATATTTATTAATAATATTGTAATTAAAAATTATTACTGTCGAAACTATGTATAAATAAGTACATATGTATGTATAGATACTTATGTACATTTATGATTATAAATGAAAACTTTTACTATCATTTACCACTTTTATTATATTTTTTTTTCTTTCATTTTATTGTTGTTATTTTTATTATAATTGTTTTTGTTATTTAATTTAAATATTATCAAAAAATTTAAATTTTAATAAAATAAAAAAAAAATTATACATATGTGTGTTTGTATGTATGTAAGTACATAATGAATAGAGTGACCATATGTACTTTATTTTTATAAAGTGTT